GCAGCACTATTGGTGGAGGAGAATGAAGAAGGATATAGTTGGGTTTGTAGTTCGGTGTCTCAACTGTCAGCAGGTAAAGTATGAGCATCAGAGACCGGGTGGATTGCTTCAGAAGATAGAGATTCTAGAGTGAAAGTGGGAGCGAATCACCATGAATTTCGTAGTTGGGCTCCCACGGACTTCGAGGAAGTTCGATGCCGTTTGGGTAATTGTGGATCGGCCGACCAAGTCCGCGCACTTTATTCCTATGAGTACTACTTATTCTTCAGATCGGTTGGCTGAGATTTACATCAGAGAGATTGTTCGCCTGCACGGTGTGCCGATTTCCATCATTTCAGATAGAGGCATGCAGTTTACATTGCAGTTTTGGAGAGCCGTGCAGCGAGAGTTGGACACTCAGGTTGAGTTGAGCATAGGATTTCACCCTCAGACGGACGGACAGTACTAGCGCACTATTCAGATATTGGAGGACATGCTATGCGCTTGTGTCATTGATTTTGGCAGTTCATGGGATCAGTTTTTGCCGCTCGTGGAGTTTGCTTACAATAACAATTATCCGTCGAGTATTCAGATGGCTCCGTGTGAGGCTTTATATGGGAGGCAGTGCAGATCTCCGGTAGGTTGGTTTGAGCCGGGCGAGGCTAGGCTATTAGGTACTAACTTGGTTCAGGATGCTTTGGACAAGGTTAAATTGATTTAGGAGTGGCTTCGCACGGCGCAGTCGAGACAGAAGAGTTATGTTGACAGGAAGGTCCGTGATGTGTGTCTTACATGGTTGGGGAGAAGGTTCTATTAAAGGTTTCACCCATGAAGGGTGTTATGAGGTTCGGGAAGAAGGGAAAGTTGAGCCCTCGGTTCATTGGGCCTTTTGAGGCACTTCAGAGGATTGGGGAGGTGGCTTACAAGCTTGCCTTGCCACCTAGCTTGTCGAGTGTGCATCCAGTATTCCATGTTTCTATGCTCCGGAAGTATATCGGCGATCCTTCTCATGTTTTGGATTTCAGCACGGTTCAAGTTGGATGGTGATTTGACTTATGATGTGGAGCCGGTGGCTATTTTGGAGCGGCAGGTTCAAAAGTTGAGGTCAAAGGATATAGCTTCAGTGAAAGTGCAGTGCAGAGGTCGGCCCGTGGAGGAGGCTACTTGGGAGACCGAGCGGGATATGCGGAGCATATATCCACACCTATTTATGGTTCCAAGTATGTTTCTAGACCCGTTCGAGTACGAACGTTTGTTTAAGAGGGGGAGGATGTAACGACCCGACCGGTCGTTTTGAGAGTTGTAGCCCCATTTCCTCATTTTCTGCTTCTTTTGTGTTCTACAGCTGTATTATGACTTACCGGTTTAGTTAGTTCGGGTCCGGAGTGATTTCGGAATGAATTGAGACACTTAGTCTCTTAATTGAAAGCTTAAGTTGGAAAAATCGATCGGATGTTGAATTATGTGTAAACAACCTCAGATTTGAATTTTGATGGTTTCGTTAGCTCTGCTAGGTGATTTCGTACTTAGGAGAATGTTCGCATTATGTTTTGGAGGTTCGTAGTAGAATTAGGCTTGAAATGCTGACAGTTGAAATTTTTGAAAGTTTGACCGGGAGTGGACTTTTTTATATCGGGGTCAGATTGGATTTTCAGAAGTTGGAGTAGGTTTGTGGTGTCATTCATGACTTGTGTGCAAAATTTCAGGTCAATCAGACGTAATTTGATAGGTTTTGATGTCCTTTGTAGAATTTGGAAGTTTTGAAGTTCATTAGGCTTGAATCCGGGTGTAATTCGTGTTTTTGATGTTGTTTGAGGTGATTTGAGGATTCGACTAAGTTCGTATCAAGATTTAGGACTTGTTGTTATGTTTGGTTGAGGTCCCGGGGGGGCTCGGGTTGATTTCGGGTGGTTAATGGAACAAGTTTTGAAGTTTGGTAATTGCTGAAGTTGGCCTGTTGCTGGTGTAATTGCACCTGCGAGGATATTGCCGCAAGTGCGATGCCGCATGTGTGGTGAGGTCGGCGCAGATGCGTAGATGGAGTTGGCCTTGGGAAGTCGCAGGTGCAAAGGAGAACGCACATCTGCGAGCCCGTAGATGCGAGAATGGCTCCGTAGATGCGATAGGTGAAGGCTTGGCAGTTTCCGCAAAAGCGGACGAAGGATCGCAGAAGCGTGTCTGCAGGTGCGAGACCTGGAGCGCAGGTGCGAGCCCAGTAGTTTAAGTGGCTTCCGCAAAAGCAGAGTTTTGACCGTGGAAGCGGCTCCGCAGGTGCTAAATGGCCGCAGGTGCGAAAAGCCTGGGCAGAACATATAAATACGGGACTTCGAGATTTTTCACCATTTTCATTACCTTGAGATCAAATTTTGGAGCATTTTGAGAGGGATTTCCAAGTAAATACTTAGGTAAGCTTCTTGTGTCCATTTATCTTCAATAATGATGTTTTTCCACTGATTTTACGCCTAGTTGGTGAGTTTTTAAGGTGATATTTGGGGGTATAGGGCTAAGGATTTGGAGAGTGAATTTTGGGATTTTGGATGAACAAATGGTGTCGGATTTTTATAAATTTGGTATGATTAGACTCGTAAGTGAATGGGCTTTCGGATTTTGTGACTTTTGTCGGATTTCGAGAAGTGGGCTCGGGGGCCAGGTTTGAGCTGATTTCGGATTTTGGCTCTAATTAGTAGTTTTCTTGTGGAATTGATCCCTTTAGCCTATATTAATTGTATTGTAATACTTGTGGCTAGATTCGGGACATTAGGAGGCCGACTCGCGAGGCAAAGGCATTTTGGAGTAGCGTTTTACTCGAATTAAGGTAAGTAACCGTTTTAAATATGGTCATGAGGGTATGAAACCCCGGATGTTGTGCTATGTGATTATTTTGGAGGTGATGCACATGCTAGGTGACGGGCGTGTGGGTGTGTACCGTGGGGAAATGTGACTTGGTCCATCCCTTGAAACCGTAAATTGGAATAACTTGTTATTAGCTATATGTTTCTCTCAGTGTTATAGAAATTGGACTGAAATCCATATTAGAAATCATGCTTAGGCGATATGATGTCATTGTTGGGACCCGCAGTGGTCGGGCACTTGTAGATTTAGCTACTATTTGTTGTCTCGTACTCAGTCATGACTTTATTTGCGTATCATACCTCCATCTCTTCTTGTTCCTTTTTGATACATGTTTTACCTCTGTTTGGGCTGATTATATGATTTCTGAGAGCCCGAGAGACTAGGGAGGTTGATGCCTGAGTAAGGCCGAGTGCCTGATGGCGAGATATTAATACCAGAGCACGCGAGTTATCCGTGTAGATCCATATATTTATACTGTAGCACGTGAGTTGTCCGTGCGGATCTTGATATGATATTATAGCACACGAGTTGTCCGTGCAACACGTGAGTTGTCTGTGCGGATTATAGCGCTTGGGTTGTAGGAACCCCTCCGGAGTCTGTACACCCCCAATGAGCGCAAGTACCTATTGAGTGTGAGTACTGAGGGCTGAGAGCCGAGTGATTGAGCTGTTGAGATGAGTTGAGTAACTATTGCCCTGACTGGCTGTACTTGCTTTCATTCGTTGTTGCACTTAGTTGCTATCTGTCATTGTTGTGAGATTTCTAAAAGATTTTATATCAGGTTTACTTTAACTTGAAGCTGTATAAAACTGATTTGAGTTAAACTGCTGTATTTGAAAGCATGTCTATTCTTTACTGAAATTAATGAAAATGAACTATAACTGTGTAGCTCGTCATTATCTTTAGTTCCTTATTTATTATTTTTACTTACTGAGTTGGATGTACTCATGTTACTCCATGCACCTTGTGTGCAGATCCAGGTGTTTCCGGACATGGTGGACGTTGATCTCGTGCGTGGTTGAGTATCGGAGACTTACAAGGTAGCTGCCGGCGTCCGCAGTCCTTCTCTCCTTTCTCGTTATCTTTTCTTTTCTGTATTGGCATTTGACACAGACTGTTGTAGACTCTGTTCCTAGACTAGTTGTTTAGATGCTCATGACTTAGTGACACCTCGATGTCGGGCTATTTTGCGCACTTATATTTTGGGTTTACCCCATTTTTATCAAAGACTCCGGTTATTGTAAATGTCTTAATTCATTTCTGTTGAATGTCGAAAGTGTTTTGGAAATGTCGGCTTGCCTAGTACCACGATAGGTGCCATCACGACGGGTTAGGTTTTGGGTCGTGACATGAGTGGGCCTTTAAATGGCCAGCCCACCCCAGCCCTAAGAGGGCCACGGGCTGGGGCGGTCCGGCCCTTCAATTTTCTTTAGAAAAAAAGAATTTCTTTAAATCCTTAAATATTTCTCGTGACATAATCAATTAATCATGTAAACAACTTCTGTTTGCTTATAGCGTACAAAAAGCTTGATATTTGAAAAGGAATCTCGTAATTGAAAGGCAAATTCTCCATATCTCTAGCTCTTTATTTTTAAAGTTACTTGAATATTTTCTTAATGCTTTCCTTTCATTTTTCTCAGATTCAGGGATTGCTTAATAAGATTATATGCTGAGGTTTATTTAATTTAGGATTAATATCATTTACTGATTTCATCATTATAGTCCATAAAATTTTTAAAAATTCTTGAAATTTGCTAGTGGTCAACTTTTTTTTTTGTGTATTTAAAATTGATCTTTTTCTATACTGAAGAGTATTTTAAATATTAATAATATATTAAAGTAATCCAAACTAATCATTGGCCACTTAAAGTAATATGTTCTTTTGAAAAAAGATTATTATTGGCCACCTAAAACTTTTCGAGTTCGTTATTAATTAAGCAAAAGAAAAATTAATTTTATCATATTACATGCATGTCAAAAATCTAAATTTTAGTTGATATGGAAAGGTAAATGGGATTATAATTAATAGTTTTTTTAATTTTAATTTTTTTTAAATATTAAATATTTAATAATTAATTAATTTTTGACCTACGGGCCGGCAGGCTGACTTTGACCGGACTTATAAACTTGAGTTTTAAATAATCTCAAAAAATGCTAGCACAACCTCACCGAAATAGCGGGTTAGTTGGACTGTGCTCGCCGGCCAAACCCAATTTAACGGCAGAGTGTAAAACAGTCTTAAGGAAAATTCATCCCGTTTAAAACCTCTAAATTGAATACATTTGACAGTGGGAAATAGTGCAACAACAATGTCGAAGCGCAAGCGTCGAGGGACGGCAAAGAGCATTAACAGCTCCCTTCTTAACCCTTCAGGTACCTCTTCACTCAAACTTCTTCTTCTATCTTCCAGTGAGAAAGTTTTAATTTTTACCTTGTAGTTGTAAAAAAAAAAGGATTTCTTTTCTCTCAATTATCGGGTGAACTAGGGCTTCATCGGAATCACGTTTATTTGCGTTGCTAGAACAGCTAATCAACTTCCCAATTAAGTTTGTAACTTTAGTCCAAACTGTTTGGCCAATAATAGCCTGTTTGGCCAAGTTTCTCCAAGTCCAAAAGCATTTTTTTTTTCTTTTTTTTTAAAAAGTGTTTCTTTTTAAAGTTGGAGGGTTTGGTCAAGCTTTAAGAAGGAAAAAAGAAATGGTTTTGAGTAGAAGCTGAAGCAATTTTAGACAAGCAGGAAAAAGTATCATTCATTTCCCCAAGAGCACTTCTTTGAAAAGCATTTTTGAGAAAAAATACACTTACAAATACTTTTTATAAGTTTGGCCAAACACTAGTTCCTGCTCAGAAGTATTTTTCAAATTAATTAGCCAAACAAATTGCTTCAAAAGTACTTTTTCTCGGCTGATTTTAGAAGCTTGACCAAACATGCTATTCCCTCTGTTTCAATTTATGTGAATTTATTTTCTTTTTAGTCCGTGCCAAAAAGAATGACATCTTTCCTTATTTGAAAACAATTTTACTTTATGCAATGATTATAGCCACACAAATTATGTGACTCATTTTATACCACAAGTTCAAAAGTTTCTCTCTTTTCTTAAACCTCGTGCCCAGTCAAATGAGTTCACATGAATTAAAACGGAGGGAGTATAAGAGTAAAATAATGGAGCTTCAAGGTAAAGGATACTCCCTTCTCCCAATTTATATGATGTTTTTGTTAGAGATAAAGTTCAAGAAGAAAAAAGGAGTTTAGAAACTTGTGGTCTAAAACAAGCCATAGATATTTGTGTGGCTATAAATCGTCTTATTAGGGGTAAAATGAAAAATTCAAAGTTAAATTGTTTTGCAAATATACAAAGTTCTCATTCTTTCCTGGGACATACTAAAAAAGAAAGAATATCATAAGTTGGGATGGAAGGAGTACCGTTTATTTAAAAGTAGGACTTAGTTGTTGTTGTTTCACTTACATTAAATTTCATGCTTTACCGAGAGTATTTTAGTTTAACTAAAGATTTCAATATCAGCCTAGTGTAGGATAAGTGTGACACTAGACAAACGTTGTATCAGAAAATTACTAATTTGTCTCAATTTGATACAAATTCTTGAGTATTGGAATGAATGGACCCAAATACGGAATGGATATAAAAGATTCGTTGTATAATCAACACTGACTAGTTTGAAGTCGAGGCTTAGTTGATTGATAGTGTAACTTAGCTCTGAATACATTCCTTATGTTGTTGCAAATGCACCCAATATACAAAACTTCATTCAGAGGAAAGGAGCCATTTTAGACCTTCAAAAGCAATCAAGTTAGACAACAATCATATCACCCTATAAACTTCTTCACTTGTCCTTCCATATGTAACTCCTTCCTCGAAAGAATTGGATGCTTCTATTGTACCTTAACATTAAAGCAACACTGTCAAACAGAGGTGGATGCTGAAGTTCAAGTTAGCGGGTGCTAGTATCATCACACCCACTATGCCTTTGTGGTAATGGGTGTAGGCTTAGTAGTGAATATATATTCTTTGAAATTTTTTGACTATACATGTAGAGGCTAAGCTGCACTCCCACTGCCACTTACTTAAATCCCCCCTGCCTGCTTTCTAGCCTCCTAAGCTGCAGAGTCTGCAGAAAGGTCTATAGGATGCTTAAGATGGGGGAGTTGTAAAATGATATTTTACTTCTTTTGATTCCATTAAAAAAAATCTGTTGATTCCATAAGCAGAGGAATGAAGCTGCATCTTTATAAATAAATGTGAAGTTAGAAGTTTCCGATCCAGTGACTACAATGAGCCACAGAAAAACGCTGAATAAACCTTCTTATTTGCGACTCAAGAGGAAAAGAAAGTTGGTCTTCTCGCATTTTACATTGAAGGAAGTATGAGAAAGTTTTTAGTTTTTGGTAACACCTGGTATAGTGACCCATTTTAAGCACTCCATTTTGGTCTATGAAGATGGGCACTTCATACTTAGGTGTTTTCCAGATCATTCTGTGCTTTAATGATGTGAACTTTTTGATAGAAAAATAATCTCCGTGATTTTGAAAGAGTCCCTTGTAGTATGTTTCATTTTTAGTACGAGATCACAAAGTTTATTTGGCGACTCGATTGCTTGTTTGCTGTAGAATCTTCTGCCCCTGAAATTGTGAATCATCAGCAATCCGATATACATACTCCTGCAGATCAAAATCTAAAAGGCTTCCATGTACCTGAAGAAACAAGTAGCTTCAATCAGAATGGCTCATTGCGTAAAAATGTCCCTCGACAGCAAAGATCAAAGGGGGGACTACAAACTTCTGGTATTACTAATACCCTGCAATCTTTACATATTGTTGATCAGCTTGCTGAGTTGTGTATCTTTATCTCTAACGATTTTAGTGTATTCAACATTGGAATAAACATTTGTCTGCACCTTTATTCATTTCATGTAGTCTATTTAGTTTGATGTAAATTTAGTTTTCTTCAAATTTAGATCAACGCTTAAATAAGACCGACATTTGATAGAAGATTGGGAGTTGGGACAAAAAGAGTTAGGTTAATGGAGGGTTAAATTTGGATTTCTGGCATAATATTCTAAACGTTTTCTGGGTATGGTACATTTCTAGTCCTTATAATTTTGTATTTGCACTTTTCACCCTTACGATTTTTGGCACATTAGTACCGTGTATTGTCTATTTGCCTGCGGCTGCCGCAGATTCACTGAGTTCTATCCTAATTTTAGTAGAACTTTTTGTTTTCTTTTACCTTTTTTCCTTTTAGATAAGAACAAATCACAAAATAATGGATCAAAATAGTGAACCCGATGTATCAGATAACAAACCACTTGATAAGGAAGATAAGAAACTTCCCATCAATCTTGCAGCTTCTATACAGAGGGTTGGGTTCTTGTGTGGGGGGTGGGTGATGTGGCAGGCTATTTCTCTTCAATTTACTGTCAAAGCAATGATTAAGCTACTGGCCAATGCTATAATCCATTCTAACCTTGAAGGTCATATATCTGTTTACTCAGATTTTCCATATCAAGATTTGTGAATGGGAAGGAGTATTGAGTTTTTAGATAGGAGTTAATAATGTACATGAGCTAGCCTCTTTTTTGTACTCAGTATCCCCTGGATGCTTATTGAATGAAATCTAACTGTACCCGATCAAAGAAAAAGAGAGTTGGAAGGAGCGATGTTGCTTCCCCTCCTAGAGCATGGGAATCAATGTTGTGCTAATAGTTTCAGAGTTGCAAAGCTGATATCTTAATTTTCCACCTCAGCAACTGATCAGGAAAGGATTAATATGGGATCCCCAAGTATGTCGCAGTTCAAACCATGATCACGTGCACTAACACGAAAAAGTAAGGTGACAGCTGATACAAGCCACTCTGAGTTATGCCACGCAAGCTTCTTGTTGTTTGCAGTTCAAAACACGGCCATGTTCACGTCAAAGGTGGAAAGTAAGATAACAGCTGATATGAGGCATTCTGAAGTTATCCCACTGCTACTTCTTGCTGTCATGTTTCAAGGAGGAACAATAGTCAAAAGGGGTTAGGCTCATGGAAATTTGACCGCTACTTGGAGTACTTTTCTAATCTAACTCTATGTTTGGTTGGGGTGAGGAAAGGTTGCTGAACGGTAAGTAAATGTAGAGAGGTCGGCGGCCCTCCAAGATTGGATGGAAAGGAGGAAATGATGAATACTACTACCAATGAACTTTCTCTCCTTTACCCTCTCCTCAACTTTATGGAACCAAACAGTGTAAGAACCCAAGACTTACCAATTTCTCTTGTGAGCCTAATTTATTTTTTTTGGGGGGTGGGGNTGGGTTTTTTTTGTAGGAGCATACGGAAATGGCATCCAGAAGATAGGAAGAACTCATTTACATACCTTGACAGCTTGTGGCTCTACTTGTACTCAGAACGCTCTCACAAAGCTAAGGTGTTGAATTGGATAACAAAAAAGGACATATTCTCGAAAAAATGTGTTTATGTGTGTTTATTATTTACCTTATAAAAAATTATATTTGTGTATTTATAAATCATCTCATTAAGGGTAAAATGAGAAGTTCAAAGTTAGATTGTTTTCCAAATATAGAAAGGTATCAATCTTTTTGGGGATAGTCTAAAAAAGAAAGAGTATCACATATGCTGGGAGGGGAGGAGTACCATTTAATTAAAAATAGGACTTAGTTGTTGTTACACTTACATTAAGTTTCGTGCTTTACGGAGATTTTTTAGTTTAATTAAAGATTTGATGTCAGTGTAGTGTAGGATAAGTGTGAGATTAGAAAAAACTACAGTATTAGAAAATTCCTAATTGTCTCATTTGGGACAAATTCTTGAGTATTGGAATGAATGGAACGGAATGGATATAAAAGATTCGTCGTATAATCGACACTGACTAGTTTGAAGTTGAGGCTTAGTTGATTGATTGATAGAAAATATAACTTAATTCTGAATACATTCCTTATGTTGTTGGAAATGCACCAAATACATGAAACTTCATTTAGAGGAAAGTAGTCAATTTAGTCCGTCAAAAGCAATCGAGTTAAACAACTATCACCCTATATAAACTTCTTCACTTGTCCTTTCCCTCAAAAGAACTGGATGCTTCTGTTGTACCTTATAACCTTAAAGCAACAATGTTAAACAGAGGCAGATGCTGAAGTTTAAGTTAGTGGGTGCAAGGTACCATCACACCAACTATACCTTTGTGACAGTGGGCTTGAGCTAGTTGGAATATATTTTTATTTTTTGAAAATTTTTATCCCTGCCTGCTTTCTTGCCTCATCAAGATGCAGAGTTTGCAGAAAGGTTTACAGGATGCTTAAGGTGGGGGAATTGTAAATTGATATTTTACTTGTGTTCATTTCATAAGCAGAAGGATGCAATATATCGCTATAAATAAACATGGAGTTGGACATTTCGAGTCCACAGACTAAAATCAGCCACAGAAAAACTAAACAAACCTTCTTATTTGGGACTGGGATGGAAAATGAAGTTGGTCTCCTCTCATTTTTCTTCTATAAGAAGTGTCTAAATTTTACTGTTATTTCAATCTAAGCATCATTGGTTTCTATGGTTTTATTGTTCATGACATTCGAAGGAAGTATGAAAACCTTTCTCAAAGCAACTTAGCTTGTACTAGTTATATCTGTATGAGTAAGTTTTTACTTTTTCGCAACACCTGGTATAATGACTCTTTTAAGCAGTCTTTGAGTCCATGAAAATGGATACTTTATATCTAGGTGTTTTCCACATCGTTTTGTGCTTTTATGATGTGAACTTTGTTAGAAAAATAATCCACGAAATTTGTGTAAGAGTCCCTTCTAGTATGTGTTCATTTTAGTACGAGATCACAAAGTTTATTTGGCGACTCGATTGATTGGTTTGTTGTAGAATCTTCTGCCCCTGAAATTGTGAATCATCAGCAAGCCGATATACATACTCCTGCAGATGAAAACATAAAAGGCATCCATGTACCTGAAGAAACAAGCAGCTTCAATCAATACTGCTCATTGCATGAGAATGTCCCTCGACGGCAAAGATCAAAGGGGGGAGTACAAACTTCTGGTACTACTAATACCCCGCAACTTTACATTTGTTTGATCAGCTTGCTGACTTGTGTATCTTTATTATATTTCTAACAATTCTAGTCTATTAACATTGGAATAAGTATTTGTCTGCACCTTTATTCATTTCATGTAGTCTATATAGTTTGATGTAAATTTTGTTTTCTTCAAATTCGGATCAACACTTAAATTGACCTGCATTTGATATAAGTTTGGGACAAAAAGGATTATCTAACGGAGGGCTAAATTAGGATTTCTGGTGTAAGATGCTCTATGTTCTTGGGTAAGGTACATTCCAGTCCTTATAATTTTGTAATTTTCACTTTTTTACCCCTACGATTTCTTGGCACATTAATACCCTATATTGTCTGTTGCCTGCTACTATCATTGTTCACTGAGTTCTATCCTAATTTTTTACAGGACCTTTTTTCTTTTACAGATGAATAAATCAGTTGAGAAAAACATAATATATCAAAATAATGAAACCAATGTCTTAGATAACAAACCATTTATTAAGGAAGATAAAATGCCTTTTTTGTACTCAGTCTCATCTCTTGGATGCTTATTTTATGAAATCTAACTTTACCTGATCAAAGAAAAATTGAAGTGGGAAGGAGCAAGATTGTTTCCCCCTCCTAGAGCATGGAAATCAATGTTGTGCTAATTATTTCAAAGTTGCAAAGCTGATATCTTAATTTACCACCCCAGCAACTGATGAGGAAAGGATTAATACGGAACTCCCAAGTACGTCACAGATCAGACCACGATCACGTGCACTTAGACGAAAAAGTAAGGTGACAGCTGATACAAGTCATTCTGAAGTTATCCCAGAGCAAGCTTCTTGTTGTTCGCAGTTTAAACCACGAGCACGTTCACGAAAAAGAGGGAAAAGTAAGATAACAGCTGATACAAGGGATTCTGAAGTTATCCCAAAGCATACTTCTCGTTTTCATGGTCAATCAAGGAGGAACACCAGTCAAAAGGGGTTAGGCTCATGGAAGTTTGAGCGGTACTTAGAGTAAGTTTTTATGACATTTTTTCCTTAAATGTCCTAATCTAACACTGTGTTTGGTTGGGGTGAGGAAAGGTTGGTGATGGGTAAGTTAAAGATGAGGTTAAAATGACTATTTCTCTTGTTTGGTAAGGAAGTAAAAGATGAAGAGAAGTAAATATAGAGAGGTTGGCGCCCCTCCAAGTCTGCTTTTTTTTTTAGCCCCTCCGTTATTGGACGGAAGGAGGAAGTATATTACTTCCTTTCCATCTGTTTCAAACAATCTCAGAGGTGAATGATGAATACTACCAATGAACTTTCTCTCCTTTACCTTCTCCTAACTTTATGGAACCAAACAGAGTGCAAGAACACCATGACTTATCACTCTCTTGTGAGCCTAACTTTTGGGTTTTTTTTGTAGGAGCATATGGAAATGGCATCCAGAAGATAGGAAGAACTCATTTACATACCTTGACAGCTTGTGGTTCTCCTTGTACTCAGAACGTTCTCACAAAGCTAAGGTGTTGAATTGGATTACAAAAAAGAACATATTCTCGAAAAAGTATATTTTTGTTCCCATTGTTATGTGGTAAGTATTTCTTCATATGTACTAGCTGTATGATTATGTAGAATTCTACAATTTAGATGTCTCTATAGACTGAGTTCCCACGTTGCCAGGGGTCACTGGAGTCTCCTGATCTTTTGTCACCTTGATGAAAGTTTACAATCTAAAGCAAGAAGTCCTTGCATGTTGTTGCTTGATTCTTTGCAGATGGCAAATCCTGAGAGACTTGAACCTGGGATCAGAAAGTATTTCTTTCTCTCAGCCTACTGTTCCATTCTGGGCTTACTTAGAAATTATAATCCATTAAGATAGCAGTGTTTTCGTTGCAGATTTGTTTTAGACGTATTCAAAGCAGAGCACAGGCCAGAAAGCAAGGACCAGATCAGGAAAATCCCTCTAATGATTCCAAAGGTGACAATATTTTGTGTCGTTGTCTAATCTCAGTGCTTTTGCAATGCCATACTAATAAAAAGTTTCAGGTTCCGCAGCAGAGAAATGATGAAGACTGTGGCAATTTTGTTTTGTACTACATAAACCTCTTCTTAGAGAGTGCTCCAGAAAATTTTAGCATTTCGAAGGGTTACCCTTACTTTGTAAGTTCCTCTCTACGAAAGTTCCACACTCTTTACATTTCTAGAAATTACATAATCCTTGTTATAACTGGATGCTTTTTGCAATTTGGGGTTGCTTTATAGATGACAGAAGACTGGTTTACTCTTGAACGGTTGGAATGCTTTTGCCAAGAACTGCAATCTACTATTACGGGTACTTCTGATTATGATGAATGCCTCCTAGATGACGGAGATGTAGTGTGTCTTGATTAGTGCTGGCAAAATAAGCAAGTATCCATCCACCAACCCTCCCAACTAAAAACGGGTAGGATAATTAATTTATTTAAACTGGGTCAAATATGGATCAATCCATATAACCCTTTATATAAATTGGATAAAACGGGTTCAAATATCGATCAATCCATATAACCCTGTATAAAAATTGGATAAAATGGGTTCAAATATGGATCATTCTCCTCCAGATCTTACAGTTCCAGAAGCTGAAGCTCCTGCTACCTCTATTTGTTCAATTGTGCTTCGTTGAACTTTAACACCTATATGGCCTTTGGATCAATTGCTGCTATCATCTGCGCCTTTGCTTTTTAGCTGCTGCTGCTGCTCTCCTTTATGGAGTGAGCTTTTACTAGTACATAGTAAGAATTCTTAATTATTAAATTTTTTGGAGCTGCTATGTAATGAATTGGGATGATTAGGAGTTTTTGGGTTGTTTGTTCATATCTATGGATCTTTTTCCTTTTTATTCTGATCCCACTTGACTGATGATGATTTCGTAAAAAGCATGACATGCGTATTATTTCTTGATGCGGTTTGGATCAGTTCAAAATCATTCCATTTAATTCCACACAAAAACAAAATTTCTTTTCTAGTCTAGGTCACTATGTCTCACTGAATAATTGTGTTTTATATTCTGTTTGTAAGTTTACTTTCACTCAAACCCTTGCTATCGCACTTGTGTCCTTTTAGGTCTTTACTTAGTGGAGCAATATATAGAGGGAATTTACTGGTTGAAATATTATAAATTATCTTTGAATATTTCAGATGTAAAACAGTTAGAAGACAATTAACGTACATAGGAAGAAGTATATACTAATACGCATCTCCTAGAATCAAGACTTCAATTAGCCATTTCGACCTTTTTTGAGATGATAATTTTGACGACAGATATTAAGGCTATGAATCCCTCAACAATGACGATATTCAAGAGGTCATATGGATAATACTCATATTATCTGATACTCAATCCATTCTCAATAGTTCTGCATACAATAAATCCTTGTGGTTCGGCCCGTCTTCAGACCTCGCACATAGTGGAGCTTAGTGCATCGGGCTGCCTTTTTTTTCAATCCATTCTCGATATTTATTAAATATGGGTGGGGTTGGATATATTACCCGTTTTGTCTAATTCATATTCAACCCCGTTCACATTTAATCCGACCTATCCATTTGCCAATTCTAGTTTAGATAAAAAATAGGGAAATTACCAGCTATGTCCATTTATAAGTAGTTCATTACAAAAATTGGCCAATTGATAAAATATTACTAATATTAGCCAAATTAGCCAATTAGCTATTTGTAGTAAAAAAATATCAAATTTNTGTATTAGAATAGATTGAGCACAACTTAAGAGCTTGAATCTCAGTTTTGGGATGATTCGGTGAAGTTTTGAGTGGTTTAATTGAAAATTCGTAATAAAAGCTGAACATGAAAAAAAATGATATGTGTATCACACTATGTATCATTTGTGTATCACATGTGTATCATATTTGTATCAATTGTGTATCACATGTATATCCATGTATACATGTGTGTGAGATACATGCGTGATACATGTTTGATACATGTGTCGTAGAAGATTTTTTTGAACTCGATTTAATTACGAATTTCGATGCAAAACCAGTCCAAATCACCTCCAATCTTCCTCAAATTTTGTATATTGACTTATCTATATATTTTCAATGAATTTCAACTATACCTATTGAAAAAGTTTCTTTTTTGTTTAGATTTTTGGAATATTGTATAGATTTTTGTATTTCATCACCTTATTTGCTACCCCGTCCATGAAATTTCCTTTCCGTCTTGTATCTAATGTTTCTAATCACGCTTAAAAATATGGAAGGTGATTTTTGCATGTGATTCTTTGAGAGAAAGAATCCTATTATTTGGTTTTTCAATTTTCGTTGGCTAGTTTTGGTAAGTCTATGACTAATGGCTAGAGGTTGGTAAGTTGAGATTTATTTGGGACATTTGTGTAAGTTTCCTAAAAAATAAGTGATGCAAGTGAATTAGTAATAGCGTACGCAAGATTTTGTGCGAGTGATGTCAGCCTATTTTGACAGTTTGGTTGTGAAGTGGTTTCGGTCTAGGACTGGTAGTTTTAAGGCTCAAATTAATATTTACCTTGAATTATTTGTAAGCACATGTGAATTTACATGCTTTTCTAAAAATATTAATTTTATATATGATGAATTTTTTTGAATTGGTGTGGAATGACGATGGGTTTGAATTAAAAGGGAAGGTTATTTTCAATTTGGTCGCCTTCAAAAGGAAATGGGGGTTTACGCCAAATGCAAGTATAAAGCTGGATGGATGGAGAGTATTACTAGAATAATACTAGTATTTACTAGCAAATGGAACTACAAACATTGATAAGTTTGCATCATTACAAATTTAGCCAGAGTCTAAGCTCGTAAGTTTTCACTTCAGACATATTTTCTAGCCAACAGAAGTAATGACACTAAGGAACCGTCTGATTTACAGATCAATAATATCAAGGATTATTGCTATTCCCTCTGGTCCATAATAAGTGACCAATTTGCTTTTGACACGCTCATTAAGAAAATATTAAATTCTATACAAAAATATCTAGTATGATTAAACTACCCTTAATTAAATATTTAATATGAGGAGTAAGAAAATTTTTTAGGGATATGTACATAAGGGTAATTTTGTAAAAACAAATTGAATTCTTTCTTGATTATATAAATAGATACTTATTTTAAACCAAAATCAAAAAGCAAATTGGTCACTTATTGTGGACCGCAGGGAGTAATACATATTATTATCTCACATTCTGTCATATAAATTAATGATGTAAATACATGTCTAAATGATATTCACTGAAGTTAGTTTAGTATCATAGCGTTCAATTTCCCGTACTAAACTGTAAAACTTATGCGAAATCTAATACCAAGTGCGAAGATTAAGAGCCCGTTTGGACAGAAGAAGTGTTTCCCTTTTTTCCTAAAAGTTTTTACTTTTTTCTAAAACCAGCGTTTCTTTATAAAATTTTCAATTTCCACTTGAATATGCATTTTGAAAATTTTCGAAAATTTGAAAAACTCAAAACCTCATTTTTCAAAATTCACTCAAATCACTCGCAAAACATCAAAAACAACCCAAAATTATATTCATGTCCAAACACAACTCTAAATTTCAAATGATTTTCACTTGAAAATTTTTTTCACATTTTTTTGGAATTTTACAATTCTTATGTCCAAACGCCCACTAAGAGCCCGTTTGGACACAAGAAATTTTTCCTTTTTTTTCAAAACTTTTTTATTTTTTTCCGAGATCAGCATTTGTTCATAAAATTTTCAGTTTTCACTTGAAGATGCATTTTGAAAATTTTCGAAAATTTGAAAAACTCCAAAAAGTTGTTTCAAAATTTTCACTTACAAAACTCGAAAACAACCCAAATTATATTCATGTGCAACACTGTAGGCATATACATTTTACTTATATTAAATCCATTAAATAATTTGGACTATATTTTAAATTCAAGATATATTGGTCCAAATAAATATTATGGGCTAATATATAAATGAATTGATTATATAGGTCCAATATATATGGATTAAATAAATGAGTCTTAATCTATTGGGCTAGCCTATTTAATTGGGCTAAAGTAATGAGCCCACTTCATTAGGCCCAAGATGTCATCTTCCTAGATGCCCAGTTTGGTGCCACGTGTCAAATGACGTGGCACTCCGAGTCAAACGGAAGAGCCAATGGGATCATGCCACGTGTCAAAATGACAAGGCATGCCAAGTCACACTAAAAGGCCAATGAAATCGCGCCACGTGTGCAAGTGACATGTTCTGGCCAATCAAATGTGGCGATGTCACACTTTAATTTGATTGGTCGGAAAGAGTTTGTTCTTATCATGACTCCTCCCTTCCACAACTATAAATATGTGTCTTCATAACTCAAAAAAGACACCAGAAGTTATAACAAGAAGCAAGAGAGAGCTCGTGGATCAAACACCGCAAATTCCTCCACAAGTTTCAAGCTTCAAGCAATCAAGTTCAAGTTCAACAAATCAACTTCAAGCTCAAGAATGAAGAACAAATCAAGTTCAAGCTCAAGAACGAAGAACAAATCAAGGTTCAAGGAGTGCGAGTTCAAATCAAAGTTCGTGCCAGTTGAATTCAAGATCATCGTTCGTGGCAACAAACATAGATTCAAGATCAAGCTCAAAGGCTCTTGAATTTATTTACAATTGGAAAGAAGAATCAGAGGATCCATAGAGATTGTACACTCATATTATTTGAAATAAAATACTACGATTGTTGCGATATTTTCGGTCATGATTTTATTTTCTCGACGTAATTTATTGTCTACAAATTCTGGCACGCCCAGTGGGACAATCTCTACCTCTTATCTCAACTTTTCAATCACCAAAGTCCAAGGACATTGAAATGGGTTCAAAGAAAATCAACTCCGGTTCAACTTCCACCAAGGCTGCTAACTCCAGGTTCTACGCTGATGTAGAAAGTATCCTCGATGTTACCTTTGGAAGCTTCAGACCAGTTATGAGGAGCAACGCGAGCTCTTTAGGACAACAAGCACTCCAAGTGCCGTTCGCATCAACCCCTGTTTTCGGATCTTAATCCTCAAAAGGAGTAAGATCTTCCACAAATGCACCCGAAGGAGGAAGCAATGTTGCTGAAAAGATCAAGAAAACTCTTGCTCTACTTGACCTCTCCGGATCCAAGCGCTCTCTTATGAAGGAAGATGATGATACTTCAAGTGATGGATCCTCCCCACTTACACCACATAGCATGAACCAATCAAGGATTAATCTATGTGAAAATCCATGCTACTCTCCATCATCCACAACAATCATGCAAGCCATGGTGACAAACACCTCATCTGTGGAGGAGCAGTTGGCAAACTTGACGGAAGCAATTGCTGGCTTGACCAAATGCATGCAAAATCAAGATGCTAGAATTGACAAGCTAACAGACAGGGTGGGAATCTTGATGGAAGAAGAATCCACCCACGCACCTGGCAAGCTCCCAGAAGTTCCAGAGAGTGAGTCTCCCTAGAGACAAGTAGCATCCGCTAAGGCTATCCCTGTCCCATCTGAAGGGATGATTCCAATCGATCAACTGAAGGAGTTCATTGAAGGAACCATTAAGAACAAGTATGAAGTCTCTGCCAAGTCCTCCCTTACATATGCAAAACCGTACATTGCAAGGGTCGATATGTTGAAGATGCCTGCTGGTTATCAACCTCTAAAGTTTCAATAGTTTGATGGTAAAGGTAACCCAAAGCAACATGTGGCGCACTTTGTGGAGACGTGCAACAATGCTGGGACTTATGGAGATTACCTCATTAAGCAGTTTGTCCGCTCGCTAAAAGGAAATGCTTTTGACTGGTACACAGACCTCGAGCCTGGATCTATCGATAGTTGGGATCAACTAGAGCAAGAGTTCCTCAATCACTTTTATAGTACGAGACGTACTGTGAGTATGATAGAACTTACAAATACTCGTCAACGAAAGGGGGAACCAGTTATC